TATCCCCGTAAGAGAAACCCTTAGGTGGGCCATGGGGATCCTAACCTCCATTGTAGCCTTGAGGCCAACCATAGTGACCTCGAAAGAGGTCTTGTTACCAAGCGGGCAACGGGTCGAAATGGGGGGGGGGGGGCATGGCTAGGGGTTGGGGGTGGGTGGGATCAACATAGGGGTAATTGGGTCACCCCTATAATCACAACCACCCAGCAACCTATAGTCATAGGACCCGGATGAGTCAGGAAAATCCCGGCGCACCCTATTTGGATCGGAAGGTCCTTGCCAATAGTCATTCTAACATAGAAACCCTAGGTCCCTGAAATATTGATCTAAAATATGTCATTCCAAGAACAACACTTACCGAACTAATGCGCGTATGTTATGGGCTATGCCAAAGCGAGGCATCACTACTTTCCTAGGAACGTAAGGTATACTAGGTATACTAGTTGTCTTGGTTAAGCTCAACGATATTAGTAAGGAGTCCTTAGATATCGTGGCAAAGATAAAATGTCAAGGAGGCATTAGATGCAACATTTTATCGAACCAGGAGTAACTTGGAGCTATTAGCAATTGGATTGCTTACCCAAAAATATCAAGTGTTAAGACAAGCCAAAACATGCTTAATCACTTTTTGATTTTTGGGATCTTGGAATCATTTTATTCTCGCCTAAAAGGGACTAATGTTAATGCATGGATAAAATGCTCAATAAGATTGAAAAGTGCATGATCGCTTTAAATTTCAAACTTATTGGTTATCAATGGTTTTTCATTTCAAATTCTTTCAATTGTTCTGCAAGTAACTCAAACAACCAGTTTTCAATACAATCAATTCTCGACAAGGAGAAGTTGAGTGGGCCAAATTTTCTTGATTGGCAAAGAAATTTGCGCATTGTTCTCATGCAAGAGCAAAGGGAATACGTCCTTGATGAGGAAATGTCCTACACTCCAAATGAGGAGGTCACTCAGGTTGCCCTTGACCGATGGCAAAGTGCCAATCGGGATGTCAAATACATCATGTTGGCCAGAATGTCTCCGAAGCTTCAAAAGACTTTCATTGAAAAGGAGACGGCTTTTGAGATCATTTCTTAACTTTAGAATATGTTTCAAGAGCAGGCCCGAACTGAGAGGTTCGAAACCCACAAGCAGATCCTTGAGAGCAAGCTCAAGAAAGGAGCATCGGTCAGCCCGCATGTTCTTAAAATGATTGGATTATTTGAGAACATGGAAAGGCTCGATGCTGGATATTCGACCGAGATGGCAATTGACATCATTCTCCACTTGCTGCATAAAGGCTATGACCAGTTCAAGATGAACTATAATATGCACAACATGGAGAAAACTCTAACCGAGCTTCATGGTATGTTGAATCAGGTCGAGCAAACTCTCAAGGATGAGGGAAAGCATGACATGCTTACGGTGAGAAAGGGGAAGCCGTTTAAGCGCTCGGGCAAGAAGAGAAGCTTTAAAGGGAAAAAGAAGAAGAATTTTCCGCCTAAGTCAAATGCTGCTAGGAGTGGCAAGGACAAGAAGGTAGCCTCTTCTAAATCCGATTCCAACTGTTTCTATTGCAAGAAGAAGGGACATTGGAAGCGGGATTGCCTCAAGTTCAAGGAAAATAAGAACGGCACCGTTGCTTCATCAGGTATTTTTGTTATTGACTTAAACTTCGCTAGCAAAACATCATGGGCATTAGATACCGGATTTGGCTCACACCTTTGTTCCAATGCTCAGGGACTAAGGATAAATATGAGGCTAGAGAAGGGAGTGGTCGAGTTTCAGGTCGGCAATGGAGCAAGGATGTCTGCCGTATCCGTCGAAACTCTGAGTTTGTCTTTGCGCTCTGGGCTTGTTTTAGAACTTCACAATTGTTATCATGTTCCGAGAGTTACCAAAAACATTATTTCAATTTCTGCGTTGGACGCCAAAGGTTTTGAATTTCGAATTAAGAATAATAGTTGTTCATTTTATTTTGATAATGTTTTATATGGTAAGGCGTATTAAGAAAATGGTATTTATGTGCTTTCTCTAGACAAACAAGTGATAAATGGCATTTATGCCACTATTTAGGACTCATTTCTTTGCCATTTCCTTCCATTTATCGCTTGTTTAGCCCATTTTTGCCGTATTTCCCCATATATTGCATAACAATGTCATTTTTCCCGCATTTCCCCTCTACGTTACCTTTTTGTACTGTTTTTGGGTCTTTTCCTGTGTTTTGCAGGTAAACTAGTCAATACGTGAAGAAGAGGAGAATTCGGGATAGTTCTGAAAGCTAAATTCATGGGCAAAACAAGTGAGAGGCTGCCAATCAAGCTGCGCGCCCATGAGAGCTCTTTCTCCCATGTTGCGCGGGCGCGTATTTCAAGAGAGAGGGCGCGCATTATAGACGAAAACAGAGGTGCTCCACTGTAGATGCCAGTCGCGCGCAGGAGAGCCCCTTCTCTCTTTCTGCGCGTGCGCGAAGATTTCTAGAGAGGGCGCGCATCTAAAGTTGTGAAAATCAGGAAAACTTCCTGTAGATCACAATCGCGCTCAAGAGAGCCCTCTCTCCCTTTCTGCGCGGGCGCGAAGATTCCTAGAGAGGGCGCGCACGATTCCCTTTGCGGGCGCGCACGCCTCACAGGCCAACCCATTCTATTGCTATTTAAACGCTAATTCGGAAAGAAAATAGCAGCCATTCCATATAGGGCAAAATGCTTAGAATATTTTTAGAGAGAGAATAACTTCCATTAATGCTTCTAGAGAGAGAGTTCAGATTTTTGGTTTTTAATCACTCAAACTTTAGTCTTTAATCTAGTTTAGTGCTTTGGTCATCTTTGTAATCAACATTGAAGCATTCTATTGGATTTTTGGTGGTTCACCATTGCAGATTTAAAGACCCATTTTCTCATTTCAATATGAAGTTGAAGTTTTGTGAGCTTTTTCTATCTTAATCTCTTTTGTTTTGGGTTATTTACATATTTCAAGTATTATTGATGGTTATGTTCATGATTTTGATTATGGCCAATGTTTTGGGTATTGTTGATATGGGTAGTTTCTCTCTCCTAGGCTAGACTTTTAGATAGGGGAAAGGGAATGGATAACTTGGTTACTATTTGATTAAATGCTTGATTTTTGGGGATTTAAACCCTTGATGTATGAACTTGTGCTTATTGTTGTATGGTTGATGTTGTGCACCATTGACTATATTATATCATGTCCTATTTGATGTGCGGGAGTGATCAAGTAGGATAGATTGCAGTTTATACATTGCTTAATCAATTGCATGGGAATGAGTTGTGTTAAGTAGGATCTTTGATCCCTTGGTTTTGATTCCTTGATTATCTATGTGTTTAGCTCTTAACCTCCAAGTTTGATGTTCCCCAATCTACCTAGCGTTTTTAATCCCATAGTTTTTAATCCTTATTAGTTTACATCGATTGTTAGAGTAATTTTATTCATTTTAGTTGTTTGTTACTTAGCTTTACTCCACTCTTATCCATTTACACAATTTTTAAGCCTCTTAAGTTAACACTTAGCTTTACAACTTCCCGTTTCTCCGTGGATCGACCCTTGCTTGCCTTTATACTCATTTAGGTAAACTAGGATTAATTTAGGTAAACGGTCAATTTTGTGTTACTATTTATGTTATTTTAGAGTCTATTTTCTTTTTGTTTTTGGTCATTATCTTGTGATTGTCATTGCTAATCGTTTTCTTAGCTTTGTCGAATGCAAAGGAGGTCACAAGGGCCGCCTACGAATCCTCTTGATCAAGAAATTGAATGCACCTTAAGACAAGTCCGGAGACTATTTAACGAAGATAACCGAGGGTTCGGTTCGATCCTTGATTGTGAAAACGATTCCTCACCCTTTGCTAGTGAAGCTACTAACGAGATGGTAGAAATTAAGCAAGAAAATGATCTTTCCCTATTTCGAGAGTTTGGAAATCCGGAAGGATATGAGCTTACTGAAGGCATTCTATTACTTGTCACCGAAACCAATTTTACCATTCATCCTCAATACACAAGAATGGTAGAAGCGGAGCAATTTTCCGGATCCCCAAGTGAAGATCCAATAAAGCATCTTGACCGGTTTCTTGAGTTGTGTGCTATGATACAAACGAATCAAGTGAGCCAAGATTACATTAGAATGCATCTCTTTTGTCAATCCCTTACGGGAAGAGCAAAGAAATGGCTCAAATATGTGAAACCCAATTCCCTAACTACATGGAAGGAGGTAGTGAAGGCATTTTTAAAGAGGTTCATCTCTGAGGAGAATACCGCGGATATGAATAGGAAGATTGCCTCCTTTGAACAAGACCCTGATGAGACGTTAGGAGAAGCATGGGAAAGATTCTAGGAACTAGTCCAAGCTTGCCCGCACCATGAATACAACCAAAGCCTACTCAAGTGGAAGCGGGGGGCAGAGGACAACCAATCAAAATCCCTCAAAATCAAGTGGAAGCGACAATTGAAGAGGTTGCAAAGAATTACTCATGGGGAGGTAGAAGAAGAACTCAAGCTAAAAAAGGAGGCAAGTATGAGTTAGAAAAGGTGGACCAACTCCAACACCAAATCGAACTTTTGAACAAAGAGTTACAAAAGTTGAATGCAAGCGGAGTAGCCGGTTCCACTTCATCACAAATCAATGCCTTTTCTTGTGAGAATTATGGAGGTACGAATTATGATACTTCATATTGTGGAGGTTTGAGTCCCGAGCACATAAATGCCTATAACACTAGACAAGATGGTTTTAAGGGGAATAATAGTGGCTTGGCTTGGAGGCAACCACCTCCGGGTTTCAACAACCAACCTCAACATGTAGAACCACCCTACAACCCACCACAACAACAAAATCAAAGCCAAAATAGAAACCGAAACTACCAAAGGCCTTATTCTAACCAAAACCAACAAAAACACAATGATGCACCACCACTTCCACAACCTGACCCGACACAAACTCAATTCCTTCAACAATTACAAGCCATGAACCAACAAATACAAGAAATCAAGGCTCACAACAAAATGGTTGATTCACAATTAGCCCAAGTATCCGAGAATTCATCCCTTAACTCCACATCCAAACTACCCGGACAACAAAACCCAAACCCCTCTCACATCCTTAAACAACCCGACACATGCAAGGCAATCACATTGAGATCGGGTGCAACTTATGAAGGACCGAAGGGGAGTGAGGAGGTAGAAAAGGAAGAGGAGGAGAAGAAGGGGGATGAGGTAGTAATTGTTGAGAAGGAGGTTGAGAACAAGAAATCCAAGGGTAAGGACTCAATCGATACTAGCAAATATGAGAATCTGGTCCCTTACCCCAGAAGAGTGGTGGAGCGCAAGTTGAATGGTAAGTTTGCCAAGTTCCTAGATGTGATGAAGGGACTACACATTAATTTGCCTTTCCTAGAGGTGGTGACAAAAATTCCATCTTATGCTAAGTTCCTCAAGGACATTTTGTCGAACAATAGAAAGCTTAAGGATGAGTTAATAACACTACCACACCAAGTAAGTGCTCTTGTTCAACATAAAATGCCCAAGAAACAAAGAGATCCCGGAAGCTTTACATTGCCGATCAAGAATGGGAATTTGGAGGCAAAGGAGCCCTATCAAACCTTGGGGCTAGTGTTAGTCTCATTCCACTACCCATTGCTCAACAACTCAACATAGAGATGATTCCTACACGGAAGACTATTCAACTTGCCGATCGCTCGGTTAAGTTGCCTTGTGGAGAAATTGAAGATGTTCCCATCCAAGTGGGACATATATATGTACCGTGTGACTTTGTAGTGATGGACATGGAGGAGGATGAAAATACCCCTATAATTCTTGGAAGAGAAACTTTGAAGACCTTGGGAGCCGTGATCAATTGCAAAAATAGCACAATTACTTGTGAGGTAGCGGATGAAAAGATTGTCTTTGAATTTTCAAAGGTGTTGAAAAATCCCATGGTTGAGAAGATTTATAGAGTGGATGTTGTTGATGAAGAACTAGGGGAAATATCAATGACAAGACCTCAAGATAGTTTGGTAGAGGCTTTGACTTGCAAGGAGGAATTTCATTCCGAAGAAGCAAGAGAGATCATGAAGGCCATTGATAATGCACCTCAATTGGAGGAGGATGAACCAACTCAAGTGGCTCAATTGGAAGAAGATGATAAGGAGGGGAGTTCTACGCCCCCTCCCAAGGTAGAAATGAAACCTCTTCCCCCCTCTTTAAAATATGTTTTTCTTGATTTGGAGGAAAGTTATCCGATTATTGTCAATTCTATACTCAATGGACAAGAATTACAAAAATTGATTGAATTGTTGAGAAAATACAAAGATGTCATTGGTTATAGTATTGATGATATCAAGGGGATTAGCCCTACATTATGCATGCATAGAATTCATCTTGAGAATGATGATGCCACCTCTATCGAACCTCAAAGAAGGTTAAATCCCAACCTTAAGGAGGTAGTAAAGAAGGAGATTTTGAAAATACAGGAAGCGGGGATTATCTATGCTATCTCCGATGGAAAATGGGTAAGCCCGGTTCACATAGTTCCTAAGAAAGGTGGCATGACCATAATCAAGAATGAGAAGGGAGAGGACATCTCCACCTGAACTGTGACCGGGTGGAGAATGTGCATCGATTATAGGAAGTTGAACAAAAATACAAAGAAGGATCACTTCCCTCTCCCTTTCATAGATCAAATGTTGGAAAGATTGTCTAAGCAGGCCTTCTATTACTTCTTGGATGGATACTCGGGATTTTTCCAAATTCCAATCCATCAAAAGGATCAAGAGAAGACGACTTTTACATGTCCGTATGGGACATTTGCATATCGAAGGATGCCCTTCGGGTTATGAAATGACCCATCCACTTTCCAAAGATGCATGACCTCCATTTTTTCCGAAATGCTTGAAAATGAAATTGAAGTATTCATGGATGACTTTAGTGTTGGTGGCTCATCTTTTGACATATGTTTGTTTAATCTTGAAAAAGTCTTGAAACGATGTCAAGAGACGAGCCTAGTTTTAAACTGAGAAAAATGCTACTTTATGGTTGAGGAAGGAATTGTCCTTGGCCATAAAGTGTCAAAAAGAGGAATTGAAGTAGACCCGGCTAAGGTGTCGGTTATTACCAAGCTACCCCCGCCTACTATCATTACGGGAGTTAGGGCCTTTTTGAGGCATGCGGGGTTTTACCGGAGGTTTATCAAGGATTTTTCAACAATATCTAAACCTTTAACCGGTCTACTTCAAAAAGAAAAAGAATTCTGTTTTGATGAGGGTTTCCTTCGAGCTTTCAATAGGCTCAAGGAGGTCCTCACTTCTGCCCCCATAGTGCAAGCTCCGGATTGGAGCTTGCCATTTTAACTAATGTGCGATGCGAGTGATTTTGCAGTGGGTGCCGCATTAGGACAAAGAGTGGGAGGAAAATTGCATTTCATTTCTTACGCTAGTAGAACATTGGACGACGCTCAAAGAAACTACACTACTACGGAGAAAGAAATGCTCGCTATTGTCTTTGCTATGGACAAGTTTAGATCCTACCTTATTTGTTCTAAGATGATAGTGTATACGAACCATGCTGCGGTCCGATATTTGATGAACAAAAAGGATGCTAAACCAAGATTGATTTGATGGGTACTCCTTCTACAAGATTTTTACATTGAAATGAGAGATAAGAGGGGGGCCGAAAATCAAGTTGCGGATCACTTGTCCCGATTACCACACATTGAGGTTGAAAAGGTTCCAATCAATGAGAGACGGGTATTGAGACCCTAATGGCTATAGCTTCAACCCCTAGCCCTTGGTTTGCGGATTTTGCGAATTATTTGTCTAGTGGGGTGATCCCATACGAACGATCCCTTGTTGTTTAAGGAATGTGGAGATGGCATATTCCGGAGATGTGTCATGGATCACGAGATTGAGAGTGTATTAGAACATTGTCACTCATTACCATATGGAGGACATGGTGGTGTGACAAAGACCGTGGCGAAAATCTCTCAATCCCTTCTTTGGTGGCCTACATTGCACCGAGATGCTCAACGTTATATTTCAAGGTGTGATAGATGCCAAAGCGCAAGAGGCATTACTAAAAGAGATGAGATGCCCCAATTGGGTATCCTTGAGGTTAAACCCTTTGATGTTTGGGGGATTGACTACATGGGGCCTTTTGTTTCTTCATGTGGAAATGCCTATATTTTGGTGGCGGTGGACTACGTGACAAAGTGGATTGAAGTCGTTTCGTCGCTAGCAACGATCACTAGGTCGTCCTAAAACTGCTAAAAAAGATAATCTTTCCTAGATTCGGGGTGCCCCGGAATATTATTAGTGATGGTGGATCACACTTCATCAAAAAGAAATTTGAGGCTTTCCTCAAGAAATATGGCGTCCACCACAAAGTTGGGGTCCCCTATCACCCCCAAACTCAAGGGCAAGTTGAGGTATCAAACCGGGAAATCAAGAACCTTCTTGAGAGAATCATTAACCGTACAAGGAAGGATTGGTGCCTTAAGCTTAATGATACATTGTGGGCTCTCCGAATTGCTTACAAGGCCCCTATTGGGACAACCCCCTACCGATTGGTTTATGGCAAGGCTTGCCATATCCCGGTGGAGCTTGAACATAGGGCATGGTGGGATATCAAGGAGCTTAACATGAACCTTGAAGAAGCGGGTAGGAAAATACTACTAAAAATAAATGAGCTAGAGGAGCTTCGCTTTGATGCATATGAGAACTCGAGGATCTATAAGGAGCGAACCAAGAAATGGCCCGACCAACGGATCAAATTTAAAGAGTTCAAGATTAGGGATGAAGTCTTACTTTTTAATTCTAGACTTCGCCTTTTTCTCGGAAAACTAAAATCCAAGTGGTCGGGACCATTCAAGATTTCAAATGTCACTCCCTACGATTCGTTTGAGCTAGATACGGGTGATCACATGTTTTGGGTTTATGGACACCGCATCAAGCTATATCATTCAAAGAATGAGGTTGGAAAGATAGAATGTCTTAGGCTCGACCCTATGGTTTATGAGCCCTCCTCTGAAGAACCATGATAAATTGGAAAAACGGTCAAGCTAATGACCTTAAAAACAAGCGCTTCTCGGGAGGCAAGTCGAGTCTCTTAACCTTTTCTTTAAGTTTCTAATTTAATTTTTCTTAGTTAGCTTGTATGATTGGATCTCATGTTTGGGTGTTTTATTTGTAGGTCATGTTGGCCAAGAGAGAAGACATTATAAAGGATGACGAACTCCCTTGCTTTGGAAGATCTCGGGATTTGAGCCTTCGGAACCGATCTCGTACCTTAAGAGTTTTGTTATTCTTTATTTTGAATTTTGCAAACATGTGTAATTGAGGATGTAATATTTTCGAGTTCTTTAGTTTGATGATTTAGGGGTTTTCATGGAGTTAGAAAACAATTGGTGATTGATTTGTAAGAGTTTTGCGCGGGCGCGCACGATCTCAGTTGATCAAAAACGCAGGTAACCTCCTCTATTTCCCCAAATTCACTCCAATTCTCTCACGTCTCTTTCTCTCCTAAAAACCCTAACATCTCAAATTTGCAACCCTTCACAATTACACACTCAAATCCATCTCAAACTCTTCAAAACCTCATAAAATCCCATTACATTTCAAAATTTACCACTCAAAATCACCCCAAATTCACCAAGAAATTCGAAAATCCCCAATCGTACTACCCACCTTGGTCTTATACGGATTTTTGCAAATTTTCTTCAATTTTGAGTCTTTAAGAGGTATATCTATTACTCTACACTAGTTCTAATTTCATTTTCATAGATAAAATCTTTGGATTCTTGAGTTTTTTGTGAAAATAAATATATATATATATATATATATATATATATATATATATATATATATATATATATATTGGGTAGCCATTGAAATGCATGTAATAGTTCTTATTGCTTTTATGGGTAATTGACATGTATTTGGGTATTACTTGCAAATTTTTTGGTTTAATGAATTATTCATGCTTAATTTACAAATTCATGGGTTTTTGATTGAATTTCTTAGGGTTTGTGGTTTATAAGTGTCAAATTTATGATACCTTGATTTTTGAATACTTGGATGATGAATTTTATGATTTGAAGGGTAGTATTTGAATGTTAGAGATTTATTTGTGTGAATTGCAAAATTTCTTGATTGTCTCTATTTTGGACTAACTTGATTGTATTGTTGTTGTTGTATTGTTGGACTAATTGTTGTTTCGTAGGGCTATTTGGTTGTGAATTTGAATTCTTTGGTTGATTGCATTGTGTTGTGGTTATAAGTGTTGGTGGAAGTTTTTGGTGTAAGAGATTGGCGATTTGTGTTGTTGAAATTTATTTGGGAAGAATTTTGACATTTGGTAGAAAGCGCTCAAAAAGCGGGAAGGGACCCCAACCCTCCCAACCTCAACAAAATCAACCTCCACTACCCCCTCTTCCCCCTATTATCTTCCAAAATAACAACCACGAATCCGCCTATAAAAAAATGAAGGAGAGGAAACTTAGACCCTCCAAACATTACCACCGTCCCGCCACTAAAAGTTTGGGTGTTGACGAGGACATTTGGGTACTCTCCAACCGTGCCTACCGACACCATCTAGAAAGTCAAGCATCCACAAATGCAAACTCATTCACAAACAATCTACCAAAGAATCACTATCGGGATAAA